CTCAGAAAGACTACACATGCAAGAATACTCAACAATAACCACAGCTACCATTTACTGAAAATCTAAAACAATCTAGACACAGTGCTAGGCACTTTATAAATTCTCATGATAATCCTAATTATGTCAGACTAATTTTGCAAATGAGGCACCTGATCCTCAGAGAGTAAGATAATTTGTCAAGTATTACGCAGCTGACAAGCATTAGGCTGAAAGTTAAGTTCAGATCTACTTAGTTCCAAAGCCCATGTTTCTCCCACTCTATCATATTACCAAAAATAAAATGTTGACTGTTTTCCCAGCTTCCACCCTTGTCTCCCAACCCAACAATCAATTCACACAGCAGCCACAGTGATCCTTTACCTAAATATTAATTCATTCTTTATGCTCAAATCCCTCCAATGTTTCCTCCTTTAAAAGCTAAAGTCTCACTATGGCCTAAGAGCCAGCCCCATGTAATCTGTCCACCTGTCCCCCTCCCCCGTTACTTCTCTGGTCTCATTGTTAATCTCTCCTTCACTTACTCTACTCCAGCCACACTGGCCTCCTTGTCATTCCCCATACACACCAAGCCTGTTCACACCTCAGGGTCTTTGCACTGACTGTTCCTCTGCCTGTTAACACTCTTTCTTCTCCACTTGAAATTCTCTCAGCTTATTCCCTCACTTCCTTTAGGTCTCTGCTCACATGTCACCTTCTCAATGAGACCTTTCATACCACGTATTTTAAATTGCCACCTCCTGACCTCAGTACTCCCTATTCCCCGCTTCCTCTGATTTCTTTTTGTTTTCTAAAATACTTACCAACATCTGACATATTATATGTTTAGTTGTTTATTGTAGTATCCCACTACTGGAGTATAAGCTTCCTGAGAACATGGACTTTGTATATTCTGTTCACTGTATCTGGCAATAGAGTACGCATTTAATAAATACTTATTGGATGAGTAAATGAAGACCTTCATTCTTCCTAGGTGTTTAAATAAAAATGGTCTCAAAGACATGTTCCAGAAAGCAAATGCAAAGGCAACCTGCTTTTGTCACAGTCTAGATTTAGTAAACCTCTCCCTTCAAACAATGCCTTTAAAGTATACTCCCTCTAATTTTTCCATACCTGTGAATAGATAATCATGTCACCTAGCAACAAACTGAACAGACTGAGCCAACTTAACCAGAGTGTAGTATTATAATCAAATAAAACTTACGGCAAAGTTAATAAGACACATATTTAATGATATGCATAATTGTTATTGTGCTGCACAGTAACTAGGCATAAATGGTAGACACTTCATGTAAATGACTCTAATTAGTCTTTCTTTTACACAGCCAAACCAAGCATGTCTAGGATCAGATTCAGGGAAAAACAGGAAGGAGGGGAAAGCTAGACACGTAGCTTTAGGAGGGAAGACTTCTCTCAGAATTCCATCCCCTTAGGCATTGGGCTAATGGTCTCCCAGCCTGGGTTATATAAGTAACTCTTTCCCCTCCATTGTAGGAGAGGCTTCCTTTCACCAAAGATTAAAAAATTAGGCTGAGGACTGCCCTCTGTCTTCAGTCATAAAGCTGAGAGGAACCAGAACAATCACTGCTGTCTATGGCAAGGAAGATGGGGCAGAGAAGCTGGTGAAGAAACCAAATACTGCAGATTTACTGAAGACCTGCTATATGCCAGGCACACTAGTAGGTGCTTCACAGAATTCCTCTGACTACTTCCGCACTCCACCTAGAGCTCCAAGCTCTTTTCCCAGGAAAGCAGAGGAGTAAGCAGGGAATGGGACAGCTCCAGAGAGGACTCCCTCTTCCAAATTCTCTGACAGGGCTAAAATGTCACCAGAAAGGGCCATTTATATTAGCAAGTTAACACTACTAAGAAGATTAAGAGGGGAGGGCACAGCTCAGTGGTAGAGTGCTGCCTAGCATGCATGAGGTCCTGGGTTCGATCCCCAGGACTTCTATTAATAAAATAAATAAACCCAATTACCTGCCCTCCCTCACAAAAACAGAGGAGGCTGTTGTTTAGCGGCTGTTTCCCTTGCTTCCTATCTTATCTAACCCATAGAAGGATAAAGGGCCCCCTACTTTCCTTGGGTTTATCCAAACCTATCCAGCCTAGGCTAAGTGTGCCCTCTCTGGGGACATTATCCCTGCCCACTGCAGCTCTCCTTTTTCCTATTACACTTAAGTGGTCAGGGACATTCATTTGGGTACACAACCATTCACTTTGTGTCACCCTGCAATTAATTTCTTAGGTTAATGCTTATCTCCCCAATGAGACTGCAAGCTTCTTAATGGCAGAAACCTTGTCTTAAACTTCTTTAATAACCCACACAAGGTCCAGCACCATTAAAAAAAAGTGTTCCATTAGCATTTGGATGAATTAAAGTTAAGTGGGTAGGCAATAGGTGGTAGAAAGGAATCAAATTTGTTTCTAGGTAGACAAGTTGGTGTTGAAAAGAAGTTTGTAGTATTCTAGACTTGTCTTTCTCATACTTCCAAACTAATTTAAAAAACAAATTTCCTTATAAAAGAAAGTGTGACTGTCATTCCAGATTCAGCAGACATCTTTGGATGCAGGTCGGAGACACTTGGATCAGAGCTACAAGACAGTGCCAAGAAATAAGGGCTTCCAAAATACCAGAAAACACACGTCTATAATGTCTGAAGGAATCTTCAAGGCCCAGAGTGTAAATCCAACTGAGCAGCATTAGACAGGTTCACTGACGCTTGGCCCAGTGAATTAAGAGAACTCGAAAGGCTTTTCCTGAATGGACAGCAGAGCAAGTTTCAGTCTACTTTGCCCACCTGATGGTGTCAGCTTCTCGACAAGAATAAGAACCACCCAGTTCTGATGATGTAAGTCTGCACGTGGTCTGAGGAAACTCAGAAACAAGCCTGAATCAAGTTATCTGGGGCTGTGAGTTGCCCCATCGCACCCCAGTAAGGAAGAACAAACGTTAAGAGCAAACATCATACAGCTAGAAGACGTCTGACAGAAGTGAATACCAAAGCTTCCAGTTGAGGCAGAGTTCAGCCTAGGAGATTCAACAGGGGCTACTCTATACTTCTCCTTCTCTTTTAATTCTTACTGGAAGGAGGTCCAGGAAGTCAAGGGGATTCAGCTTCTCAAACTCATTTATTTCTGGACCTCAGTGCTAAGTAACTACTATCAGTTGGGTATGCATGTTTGGTGAGATAGACAAAATAGTCTCCCCTTTCATTGGTCACCTAATGCCCAGCCCCAGAATTTTTTCAGTTACTGGAATCCTTCACTAAAAATCAAACTGAAGAGCTTTGTCAAAGTAAAACTGTATTTAGAATCCTAGTCCTACAGTGCTCTTCTGTTAAAGGAGTTGACCAGATTTAGGTCTTCAACTTGCATTATATTTGAAAGACTACAATGCTATTCATAAAAACCCTTAAAAATGATGACAAAAATCTTTGACCTAGTAATTCCACTACTGGGAATGATAACGGCAGCTGAATGTTGTTAGTACTTACTATGTGCTAGGCACTGCGCTAAGCACTTTACTTAAAATATCTCATTTAACCTTGCAAAAACCAAATAAGGTACTACTGTGTGACAGATGCATAAAGGGAAGACTGGAAACTAACACAGGTGGCAGAGGTAGACCTCAATCTCAGACTGAAAGGACTCCAGGCCTATGTTTTTAAACTACCACCCAAACTAAATATAACCTCAGAAAATAACCCTAAAATACAGCAACCATTTTAGGCATAAAAAGCTCAGTGTCATCTAAGTATAACACGGCAACTTGAAGCATTCTAAACACACAACCGTTAAGCAAATGAAGGCAATTTCGATTACACAATGATATAGGCATTAAAATATCTTTACACATAACTTTTAGTGATATGGGGGAAATTTTCATGCTCTAAGTAGAAAAAGCAAAACAGAATTTTACATACAGTCAGATCTCAAGTATGTAAAAAAAATATATCTACAAATAGAAAGATCTAAACTTACTACTAAATAAAAAAAGGTGACTTGAAAAATTATACATATATGGCATGGTCAGATTTATGTAAATAGTGCCTGACTCATTTTAATTATTCAGTAAATGTAAGCCATTATTATTATTCTTACTATAAGGAACACGTAATACTTTAGAATCAGAAAAATCAACAAATGTACTTAAATTATAAGTTTAGGTACTTATTTAATTAGTAAGAAGAATGTTACTTCAGAAAAATTAAATAACATGTGTCTTTCTTTCTTGGAAATCTTCCTCACAATTATACAATTTCGGATTAAATATCTCTAAATTATGGGAACCAAGTAGCACTGAGAAAAAGGCTGTCACACTTCCAAACATCTAACGTATGATCACGTCCAGCATGTAAGACCACAGTGAGTTGTGCTGGTTATTTTATATTTAGAGTTTAAAGTCATAGACAGAAAGGCAAGATCAGGGATCATATTTCAAGGGCTGTGATGAACAAGCAGATTCTCTTGGCCAGTATCTCACACTCCACCAAAACCAAAGCCTTTGGTGCACTCTCTGAGAGAGAACCAATAGCTCCAGGGTGATACAGCAGAGACATGTAGGATATGAATGGAAATTAGGGATATTTTTCACCTGTTAATCGTCTTTAGGTAGAATTTTCACACACACACAAATAACAGACTTATTTTGAATGAAAAATGGGCAACTCTAGAACTTAGTTCCTCAAGTTCCATAGGAGTTTCCATATCTGAATATATAAGTTGAGACGCAAGGTTCTTGGCATCACATTGATCTCTGGCCTGCCTAAAGCAAAGAGTAAGTTTGAAACACAAAAAGATGAAAGATTTTTCCCTTCCCCTTCTCCTGAGGTTATGTACAACAAAACAGTATACCCACCAAAAGTAATAAAGACCATGAAAAGCACTAGAGAATCAGGTAGACTGAAAAACCCAACAACTTTAACTTTGAAGAAGAGCTGTCTGTTGCACTGTACTGAATAGGATTACAAAACCATCAGGCAGTCAAAGTCTGGCTTTACCTGTATCTTGACCCATCAGCCCGTTGCAGTACATGGCATGTCGCTCGATCTTTGTGGGTGGGAAGCCTTGGTCACAAAGTGGGCAGGCTATGCGGGTACTGGATGAGAAGGCAGAAGTAGGTACCTCCTTCTCAGCATCTTCCTTGTAATCAACCTGAAGACCCTGAAGATCATGACAAACAGCAATGTAACAGCTTTAGTTTATAAGATATCTTTTCCCTCCAAAACACTGGAAAAGACTCCATCCCATTATTTCACTTACTTTCAGAGATGATATCAATCAGTTTGCCAAATTCAGGACAGCAGATTTGGAGATACACTAATAGAGTTAATACCTATTCAGAGCCTGCTTACTATGTGCTAAGCACTCTGTATGTAATACTCATTTAAACCTCATGGTAATCTTACAAAGGTATTAATTAACACATTCTTTTTACATGAGAAAAGCGTTGTCCAAAACAGCAAAGCAACTTGCCCAAAGTTACAGGATAAGTAGCAAAGCTGAAACTCAAACCAAGAATTATTTGGCTCCAAAACCTGACAGCATTCCTCTCTATCATGTTGCAAGGCACTATCCTCGTTGGGTCCGTATGCTGTGTCTGCTGTGTTTCAGTCTGTACATTAACAGCATCTTAAGGACATTTTTTCAATCTCACAAAAGAACTGTGAAGGCATTCAAAAGGTACAAGCTCCCAGTTGTAAGATAAATAAGTACTAGAGGTATAATGTACAAATGATAAATATAATTAACACTGCTGTATGTTATATATTAGAAAGTCATTAAGAGTAAATTCTAGGAGTTCTCATCACAAGGAAAAATTTTTTTCTATTTCTTTAATTTTGTATCTATATGAGATTACAGATGTTCACTAAACTTACTGTGATAATCATTTCATGATATATGTAAGTCAAATCATTATGCTGCACATCTTAAACTTATACATTGCTGATGTCAATGATATCACAATACAACTGGAAGAAAAAACGAATTCCACGACACATACAAAAAGAACTGTGGTCACTGTAAGTGATTTCAGACCTCAGGAGTCAGGGGGGCAAAAAAGACCCCTAAACAAAAGTGACACAACTAAAATTCAGTAACAAAGTCCTCAGCTTACACCACTGAGACAAACCACCTCTTGTGTTTTATTTGTCATTTTTGTGTTGAAAGAGGAAACACAAATAAGACTCAAATATTTAAGAAGGCCTAAAGAAAACCATTAAGACAATTCTGACAAAGCCATTCTTAGCCTCTCTCTCTCTCACTCCCTTTCTCAGTGTTTTGTAGTCATCATTTTTCCTACACTTGCCAGTGCCTCTCAGAGGCAGTTTTATTTTACCTCTACAGGTCGGAGCCGAGAATTCTGCAGTGATTAATTCAACAGTATGCATGAGCACTGCAGCACTACCGCCTAACACTTGCTTCAAAGGACAGCATGTCCTACCCAATCAATGCGAAGCTGTCCTGCATAGCCACTGCTTTCATTTAAGAGCAAGGAGCACCTGGCTGTCATTATGCCTTACTACAGGAAAAAATAAACCCTCCTCTGGCACAAGAACAGAATAGGACCAAAACTGCAGTTGGTAGATAGTATGAACTCAGAGCCAACTGGGGTGTTTCTTTTGTTTGTTTGTTTTTCTTTTGGTTTCTAAGTTTAGGCCATCCCTAAAATTTACTGCCTGTGAATGTAATCCAGCAGAGAGTGAAACAGGCCATCTAAATAAATACCAAGTAAAACAATTTCTTCAACTGCCGAAAATGTTGTTTTCAGCACATGCCTGCCTTTTACTTAAAAAGAAATGGAAAAAAAAGAAAGATGAGAAAGGAACTAAGAATGGCTGAGTTCCTATACTATGCCAGGCTTGGCCAAGCATTTTCCATATACATCCCTCACAAGGACCCAACTGGCAGAGGTAACACTAGCTCCAGTGTTACAGAAAAGGAAATTGCGACTTGGAAAGGCAAAGTAACCTGCTGATCACAAAGTGAGTAAATGGACAGTCTAGCCTGAAACCCAGGCCTATGTGGCATCAAAATTCTCAGTATTCCACCATGTGGTGGCAATACTCCACTTTGCTTCTGGAAGCTGACTCTGTCAGATATTGGGAGACTCTCAGCTTCTATTAATCTTCTCCAGAATGTGGGGAAAATCAAGTGGGTCTGGGAGTTCTAGGTATTTTTTAATCCAAGCTTTGTCACTGACCTTCTCACACACCCAGGTTACTCTGTTCATAAATTTTACAAGGAAAAGTTGTCTTGTGAATGTAAAGCCATTTGAGCAGAGGGGGAAAAAATCAATATATCCTATAATTTGCAAGTAGTCTTGAGTTACTCTATAAAATGCAAAGAAGATACCTTCAACTAATAACGTAGTAATCAAGAGGGAGCAGTCTATTATTGTTTTATTGTGAATACAAGACCACTTCCAATCACATTCATAGGCAACCCAGGTTTCTGAACATTTCTATATCAACTAAGTTTTTTTTCCCAGCACCATAAAAAAAGGTCTATTTAAATATTAACTACAAAGGAAAAAATACAAGCAAAGAAGCTTTTATGAGGACTATGCAGTTAGGGACTGGGTCTCCGCAGAGTTACTTCTACTTCTTTTAAAATACTATACAAGTATTTCTCAAAAGAGATACCTGGACACCAAATCATGATCCCTTAAAAGCTGGCCTTTACCTTCTGGCCTGAAAAGAAACCTCATCTCAAGAAATGGATCAAATGAAAATAAAAGTATGTCCTACAATCACCAACTCCGCCACCAGTCCGCAACCTGGTTTATGTGCAGTTTAGAAAAGCATTTAGCTTGTTCCCCTCTTATCATACAACTCTCAACACAGTTACTTAAAAATCAACTGATAAAACTGACTACAACTGTGCAGGTCCACTGACACATAAATGTTTTTCAATAGTAATGACTACAGTACTAAATGATCTGCGGCTGGCTGAATCCGAGGATGTGGAACCACAGATAGAGAGGAACCACAGGGCTTGCTATAAGTTATATGAGGATTTTCAACTGCACAGAGTCAGAACCCCTAACCCTCCTGTTGTTCAAGGGTCAACTGTATTTCATTCCGAATAAGGGCTATTAACTCTTCTGAGTACAGAATATCTGAGACTCCAACTAAGAGAAACTCTTAGGCAAGATATTACAAAAACATTATTTCCAAAGGAACCTGACCATGGCAGGAAATCAAATCAAGAAAAACTACAATTCTGGCAAGGGTATTCCCAATTCCTCAAACACTGTCAAGCAACTCTCTGTCATTAGTAAGTTAACATCACCGAACAGCCACAACATATTACAAAGCAATTTCACGTGCATTCCTCTACTTGTGCAAAATTCCTCCTATGTATTTTATATTCTCTAATTTAATCTTCAGAGAAACCCAGCAAAACAAGCTATTTTTGTCTCTATTTTAGATATAAAGAACTGAAATTCAGAAAACTGAAATTCCTCTCCTATGCTCCCTCAATGCTCCAGGCATCTCTTTAACATTACATCTGTCAGATCACATTATAACTATCTGTTTATGTGTCCCTTTGAGGGCAGGGATTAGTTTTTTTCTTATTTATCTTATATCTTAAGACTCTAAAACAATGACCGGCACACAGTATACAAACTATAATATTTGCCAAATAAATGAATAAAACAATTAATTAATTTGCCCGAGATCACAAAGTTAATTGGTGGGGTTGGGATTTCAAAGCCATGTCTTCTAATTCCAATGCTCAAGCTCCTTGCACAACCTTCCAACTTCCAATAAACAAATTTTAGAACAAATGACCCTATACACAAATCCCAAGGGCAAAAGTCCAAACCCATTATGATACTATCACTGTGCACATAAAATGCCCAGATTCTATCTTTCTAATAGGTGACTTACAACAAGTGATTGCTCAACAACTTGAAAACAACAGTATCTCTAAACTTCTTTTAATGGAAATTTCTAAGACTATTTAGAGCATCCACAAATATCAGCGAACAGCAACATCAAAAAGAAGCCTAAGCCTCTGTCACCTACATCTTTTCATCCAAGGTCAATATTGCATCAGAGAGAGGACTACCAGTAGAAAGAAAACACTGAGGAAGGTTATAAATAATATTCACCTCCTTATCTGCCATTATTCTTACTTCACCTGGGGTCTCTCTGCTGCCTGGAAAGTCTTCTTTTTCAAGGTCAAAAGTTTCAGGGGAACATAGCTGTGTTTCTGTAATTTAAAAAATTAAAACTTCATTAAGTTTCCTTTTGTATTTTCATAATTTAAAAAACAAATACCTATCTCCCCTAAAACTTACGGTATGAGAATACTGCAGTGGGAATATAGATCTAGCTTCTTTCTTCTTAAAGCTTCACTGAAGCATAATTTACATACAACAGAGTTCACCAATTTTCAATTTACAGTATGGTGAGTTTTGACAAATGTGTACAATCTATACATGGTATCAATTATACCACGTAACAATCACCACAGTCAAAATAAAAAAACATTTCTTGCATCCCCAAAAGTTCTCATATACCCCCCACAATTAATTCTCCCTCCCACTTGGCTCCCTGCAATGACCAATCTACTTTATGTTCCCAAAGTTTTGCCTTTCCTAGAAGGTCATATAAATGAAAATGAAATAGTACACTGTGTCATCTTTGTGTCTGATTTCTTTCACTTAGTATAATGTGTTTGAGAAGCATCCATGTTATTAGATATATCAGTACATTCCTTTTTACTGCTGAGTAGTATTCCACTGTTAAGATATATCACAATTTGTTTATTCATTCATCAGTTAATCCACTTGGCTTCTTTCCAGCATGGTTCTAGTTTTAAAGCATATTTATTCTGATAGAAAACAAAACACTGTCAATGCTAATTCTGAGGTTAAAGTGATGATTAGAGAAGACAAAAATTGAAAGCATTAATAAAAATACATGCTCAACAAAAATAGGCCTTTCTTTAATTATTCTTTAAGCACCATCTACTCATTCAAAATTAATGCAGCAAATATTTATGGAAGAAGTTCCAGACACTGTACAGGCTACTGGCAATATGGAGATGTAAGATGGGATCCCTCACAGTCTAGTTCAGGTATCAGCAAACTATATAGTTCATGGGCCAAATCCAGCTAGTTGCCTGTTTTTGAAAATAAAGTTTCATTGGAACACAGCCACATTCATTCTTTATACAGTCTGTGGTTGCTTTTGAGTTAAAATAGCAGAGCTGAGTAGTTTCCACAGACTGTATGGTCCACAAAGCCTAAGATACTTACCATCTCGTCTTTTACAGAAAAAGTCTGCCAACCTCTGGTCTAGAAACCTTTCACTTAATATAAGAACAGTAACTATATTTCAAAGAAGGACAATAAATCTGGAAAAGAAATTTATCTGTGAACACAATCCAGTAAGTTACCTGTTATCTACACTATATGCACTATATATCTAACTGGTATTTCTGTGCTTCCCAAATACAATGAGTGGCCAATGCTCAGCAAATAATGTAGCTGAAAGATACTGAGGTGTCTTCTCAGTCATCCAAGAATGATGAAATCCATTTCTAGTGTTAACCATATTTTAATACATCACAATTTTTTGAAAACTGAATACACAAACAGATTTTATACCACCCTTGTTGGAAAAAGGCTTACACTGCATAACTTCAAAATCTTCTTTATCAAAGTTCCCTGAGAGATATTACCAAAAAAGACATTCAGTCTATTAGAAAGTAAGAGTTGCTCACTGCTTGTAATACTGTAACAATAAAGTCTTTAACCTTTTGTGAATGGCTGACATGTTCAACTATAGAGACAAATTAAGAGGGTATTAGCTCTGCAGAAATAAATAATGCTAGTACTATGCACAATGTGGGCATAAGGCTGTAATCCTGCTTCTTCACTAAGATGATATTCTAAGTTTGACTATCAGACCCCTGGAACTGTCAGAAATATGAGACAAAACAAAATAGGTAAGATGGACTACTATACTTAATCTGTGTTTCACCATTTAGGACAAATTTTTATACATAGCTTCTAAATTACGTATTTAAAAAGACACTCAGGAGTCTGGCTCCATGGAGAAGTAGTTATACTTTCTTAGCAAAAGGAACAGTAACGTTAGGAAAACCTTTTACAATCTCATTTAGAAGTGGTTTATATCCGCACACAGTTGGACTTAATTAGCGGACTAATGACAGTAAGTCATGATCATAAAAGTTATCTAACCTCAGTCATGAAAGGCTTGATTTTTCCTCTTTCGTTAACTTTCCTCACATTAGAGATTTCAATATTATGTATTTGCAGGTTCCTCCTGCAAGATCCCAGGGTGACATCACATGTCATCATTCTAAACTTACTGAGTTACTTCCCAGCAGGATAGCATGTCAGTTGTCTCATATGGAGAAGGAGTAACGCTATATTTTCACAAAGATAACACAGCATTCCTGAGTGCTCCTGCCAAAATCAGAGCACTTGGCAGTGAGGTCTCTTAGTGGGTATCATTAGGCAGTAATCCAAATAAATTTCAAATGAATTAAGAAATCACTTTCAATTAAAAAAAACATAGTTAAACTTTAAAAGTAAGTAAAGAAAGACCTTTACAGTATGCTGCCAAATGTTTAAAAATAGTTTACACATTAGTCTAGGAAAACCCTGTAATTAAGTATGTATCTCTGGCAAAACATGAAAGAAACCAAAAAAAGAAAACTACGAGTCTCTCTGATCCTGACAGGTTATATGCCACCTAAGGGAAAACGAGATGTGACTTATGGTAACATTTGTCCCACACCTGCTGTCCAAACATTCAAACATTAAGAGGAAGTACCTCAATTTCACATGAATGAGGTTACTGATAATAGGCCCCACTTTTAAGAAAAGCCAAAAAAAAGAAAATTTAAGCTAAAATAAATTCCTTAGAAAGCAGTGATTAATATCATAAAATAATTCTTCATATTATACAATGATTCAATTCAAGAGTTCCCTTAGTGGGTACTTAGCTCATTTTGAATTATTTTGTGTAGCAAACCTATTCATGTGCAACTTTCATGTGAAGTTCTCTCATACCTTAAGCAAAGCACCCATGTCTTTTTATCTCTATTATTAACAAAAAATGAGGTAAGGTACTTAACCAGGTTAAGCATATTTTCTGAGACTAAAAGTAAGTCAATGACAGAAATTTATGTACAAAATTCAATTAATTTCTGGACTCTCTATGCAATAGACCCCATGAATGGTAATGTAAAACTAACTAGTAAAAGCCTCAGGGAAAAAACTGCTTAATAACAGGTAGATCTGAGGACAATTCAACTTTGAAAACCCATAAACCAAAACATAAAGTCCTCTGCTATTCATGCTCTGGTTTCTCTTCAGATCGAATAAATCTTTCGCCTTTTACTAAAAAAAAAAAAAAAGTCCTCTGCTATTCATAATGTTTTGCTGCCATCTCTGATGAGGCTGGTAAGCAAACAAGCAGACAAAAGGCCATGTTAATTTCAAACTAAAATATCTCTAAGAAGAGAAAATGTGAGAAGCAGAGCCAATGTCCATTTAAAAAGTGTGTATATGTATATACGTATGTGTGTGAACACATACATACACATCAATCACACATAAACTTCCTGAGAGTGGTTGACAAAGTCAGCAAAATTAATAGGCACAAAAAGGTAGATAGCTAGGGATTACAAACTAAGTAAAATCTCAATGGGCTACTTACCAGGACACACAATGATTTCCTCTGCAGAACTCTCTGGCCTAAGGACCAAGCTTCTTTTACAGGTCAAAGTAGGAAAGCTAAAAACAAACAAACAAACAAAACAAAAAAACAAACAAACAAAAAAACCCAAGTGAATTCCCAGTAAAATAAATCAGAACACAGGGCCAAAAGCAACGGTGAGTCATTCACAAAGCCACAGGTAATCTAATACCTGCTGTCCAATACACAAAAGCACAACAGGGAAGCAAGGAATCAGCAGTGAAAACTTCAGGCCAGAAATAGGGAAAATAAACATGCTTACAACTTTAGTTTCAGTGAAATCACTGAATGAAAAGAACCCCCTTCTGGAGTTTTCAGAAAGGAAGGTTGAAGGGTAAGGACTATCTATGAACACAACAGAAGACAAAAAATCCACTCCAATATAAGGATGTCAAAAGTGTTTTACAGTCTCCATCTCAGCCTTCTGAAAGCTAGAGGTTTGTAAACTCATAAGAGAAGACATGGAGATTCTCCTGACAACACAATAGCTCTCCCCTCACCTTGCAGTTAAATTTCCTCTTTATTTCAAGATGTTGCTCTCCCAGCAACAAAAATAAGATACAAATCCAAACTGCCTACAGCAAAAATCTGCCCGACCCAGCTGAATATCTCTTCTGAGAAAAACATAATTATGAATGGCTCCCCTCATCCAACCTTCTGGTTTACCCTGCCTGTTCATAGCATGCAATCTCTTCCTGACATAGGAACACATGGCTAAGAGAGCTTAGCATCTGAGCTAGCTTCCTCATGCTTCACAGAGCTTTACGATTAGTTTGATCAAGTATGCAAGAGGACGCTTAAAAACACAAATCCTCACATCAACCAAGAACCACAAAGAAGAGAGAATAACCACCACTGATTCATGATAAATAACTAAATCCTGCTAGGAAACCACAAGTGATTTCTCCCTCTAAATAAAACACCTCATAGCATTTGTTATAAACCCAAGCCAGATACAGTTTACTCTGCATGTAACATTAGGGCTCTATTCAAAGAGTCTATCACAAAACAATTTGCTGACATTTATAAAATGGGCTAATCAATTTGAAGTCAAACCACATTGCCTGCAATTCCAACTCTCTCCTGGTGACAAAGCATATAATCATTTATTAAAACCTACATCTGCTCTGCACAAGGCTCACCACAACAAAGCAGAGAGGCCTACAGGAAGCAGAAGGCCTACTCCAGTTAAAACCACTTTCAAAACTGTCTTAACAGCAAGAGAATCAAACCAAAGCCATGTTCTTTAGCTCAGGAAGAACTACCTACTACTAACAACTTAACCAAAAACCACCAACTAAATTACAGCAAATAGCAATTGGGCCTCAACTTCCATTTGGAAGATGAAGGCCAGTTAACACAAAATTAGGCTCTTGAGTAATCCCCAGTGATAAACTGCCTGTAAAAGGGAAAGTAATTGGAGGCCTGATCCAGTTAATAGTACAGTTTGTAACCAATCAACCTCTATTAGTCAGAAAACTAAAGTAACACCACCAATCAACAAGAATAACTGAGGAGATAATACAAATACAATCATTTAGGAAAAGATGAGATACAACCAGATGAAAAGTGGCAAAGGACACGGAGTCAGGGTGGTAACAGGTTCCATGTGGCCTCAACAATATAAGGGCTTCAGAGAGGATGTAAATCTCAAGAGCAGGCTTAAAGATTTATATGGTTTGGATATGCAGATAAAATAAGCATAAGCAGAGGGAACAAAAAGAGAAAGCAGAGAAAGGACCAGAAGGACCATAAAGAAATCAGTCTAGAGTCTTCAAACTGGCATAGGGAGCTAGTGTAGTTGGTTAGGAGAGTAGCAGGATATAACCACTTTTCAGGAATAGTGTAGATGGGATTTGTGCCTAGATGGCTGGACTAGACAAGTAAACGCTAAGATATTCTCCACCTTAATATTCTAGGCTTCTATGAGATGCATATTTGAGAACTAGGAGATGATGATTTCTCCCAGTCTGTGCATATAAAAGAGCTGAAAGATTCCTGGCAAGCTGTTCCTGTACAGTCTCACTCATGTGGCTCGTCTCTTTTATTCTGGTACTATCAGAGGAGAATTCAGACCTATAACAACATATAATCTTACCTTTGTGAGGCAGGTGCAGGGTTTCCTTCTTCAGAAGTTTCAACAAATAGCCCTTGGGAAGACTGCAAAGAAATACGTAATATCCTAAACATACAGGCACAGATGAACTAGTTTCTCTTCCTTTCTAAAAACAATTTAATTTTTCAACATTATCACTCAACAATTAGAAATAAGAATAAATCATTTTACGTAAGTCAGTAAGTTTAAGTAAAAAAAGTATATCCTGTTGAGTCAGAACACTGGGATTTAAATCACAGGTAAATTACCTATTGATTTTGTAATCCTGGTAAAGTCATATCTGAATGTTTGCTCATCTTAAAATGGTACTAACAATTGCTTCACAGAGTGTTACTGTGAGAATTAAGATAATATATATGATGTACTGTGTAAAATATGACATACAAATATTAATTGGTAAGTCAAACAAATTATGACTTCAGAAAAGCAATTATGAAGCTTTTGTTGTGGAAGGAGGAAATATAGAGGAAAGTCCAGTTCTCAATGAAAATACTGAGTTGGGAAAAACTGCAACATGAAAGAAGTTCTCATGGCACAACCAAGCCATAACAGGATATCCAAAAGAAATGATTATAAAGATTCCTTTTGTTACAAATCTGCACTATGAGTTTAATATCTGGCTACAGAGGTATCTTTTAAAAAACATAACAGAGACTGGATAAGAAAAAGATTATTTTCTTTGATTAATAGTAGAGTTGGTACAAATGTTAACTCATTAAATGTAGATGCACAGGACAGTGGAAAAATCAGCTACTGCTGCCTTAGGGGTACTTCTGAGGAAGTGCCTTGACTGTGAGGCTTCTTCCAATAGATGTAAAGCTACTGGCTGAAGTTTTCAGGGTCTCCTAACAGGATATAAATAACCTAATAAACAAGTTAGGCACCTCTCTACCACTCAGGTAAATATACTAAAATACAGCAACAGCCTAGATGAGCCTTCAGTCAAAGGGAAGATAAAGCTGTACAATGATTGGGAATGTAGTCATTATGAAAAATGAGAGTTGAAAAAAGCTGTCAAAAGGACTAAAATACAACAGCAATAAATACTTCACCTGACTATTGGTTTGAACTCAGTGGTGACAAAACACTGTTTTATTCCTGATGTCTCAAAAAAAAAAAGGTAAATACTGACACCTGGTGTCCATTTAACAGAATTTTACCTTGTTGGAATGACTGGTCAACTAAGCCACTGGCTTCAGAAGCAATCAAGGTACCAATAAGCTATGCGATACCTCCATCTCTACCCTATGCTAAACATATCTCTACATTTCCCAATGTAATTTTTTTTAATCATTACACACCTATTACACGCCAAGCCTATGCTAATCACTTCACATGTGTTATCTCCTTTATTCCTCACAAGAATCTTCTGAAGCAGAAGGCATTATTTTAGAAATGAGGAAAGTGAGACTTTGACAGGTTAAATAATCCACCCAAAATCACAGAGTTGTTCAAAGTGGAGCCTGGACCTTTCTGACTCCAAAATCCATGTTCTAACCACTAGTTATATTGTTTACAGAAATGATCTTCCTAACCATTTCAACACAGAATTCCCGAGAATGTCTTCATTTCCCCAAATCATTTTCTAATTTCTAAACATATACCTCCATGGCAATAATCTAAACACAGGGGTAAAGTAAGGTTCTTTCAGAATATGAAAATAACAGAGCAAAACAAGTAAACAAAATGTGATTAGAATATCCAAATCTAATCAAGGTAAACAGAGAAGCATGACAGGAATGTAACTTTCACTAAGGAAGCTATGGCCTAATCAAGACATTGCAGTCTGCCTGAACAAATAATATGTTAATGGAAAAGGGACAGTTTGCAACAGCTCAATCTATGGCCTAGAAATGCAAGTGAATAGATAAATCATCTGGTCACCACAGAAACATCCTCCATTCTCAGGTACCAGTAGTTTATCAGGTCTTTCCACAGACTAGTTGAATCATCCCTTAAAATTTCTATTTTCTAATTATTATTTCATCCTTCCAGATTCCTTCATCCTAGAAAAAGGTATAGGGGATGGTAGACCTGAGTATTCTGGTCACTGAAAATGTCTCTCTTTCATAATAAATTAACAAACTGACATTTGGTGTACATATCAGCTTGAAATTTGGTTAGTCAAAGTCAGTTCTCAAAGCTCCACATAATCTGGTCATTTCTGGGAAAGAAATCTCAGTTACTGAAACTGAAAATTAAGGATCAGACCCTGAAAAGTAGTGACCACATCAATATACTACCCCTCCCCTCCTTGCTGGACAGCCATCAAGATGACCTCTCCATTTTCATTAACAACTTCCCTATAATTGCAGTGATGCCAGAAACAAGTTATCATCTAATCCTAAAGGTTTTACAACCTAGGTAAAGACTAAGCAATCTGCCCCACAGTGAATGTTTTTCTGAGCCCCTATTTCTGGGACTCTCTTGCTATCTCTACCAACCAAGGAGTCTCAAATGTGGGCAGTTCCAGCAAAGACATAATCAACAGAAAACATTTTAACATATAAACGCTTTCTACCCAGGGTAGCTGAAAGCAAAAGATCAACATAAGATGTGAAAATACAATCACAAGCCTTTCATTTATTTGCCATAAAATTAGTAAGTTGATTTCTCTTTGTTTCCTTTTTTAAAGACACCATTCTAGTTGGCATGGCTGCACTGAACCAGGCATTCTCATACATTGCTGGAAGAAAACAGTTCAAATTTGAACAACCTTTCTAAAAAGCAATTTAGCAATAAATATCAAGTCTTTTTTTTTAATGTTCATAACCCTTTAATCCAGTATGTTTCTGGCCCCTTATCCCTAAAGACACTGATTTTAAATAAATATAAGTTTTATTTAGAAAAACATTTATCACAACTGAAATATCTGGCAATAGGAAAACAGTTTATATATTAAGGTAAATGCATAAGGCCAAAATATTATATAATCATTAAAAATGAAATCTATAAATAATTTTAACATCATAAGAAAATGTTTATGTAATATTAACTTAAAAATATAAAAATATACTAACGACTTTCCCCCACAAAAAAATACATATATATATAAAAATATAGTAATATAATCTAACCATACCAAAAACAGGTATAGAAAAAAAGATGAAGGAATACATCACTGTGGATACTTTTTCAATTTTGTTCTTTATACTTTTTGGTATTTTTCAATAGTTCTAAGTGATTCCTAAAATTAATGTTAATGACTAAACTGAATTACTAGGTTGTCTGCCTGGTATCCTTTTACTAGGGGCTGTTCCTCACCCCTCTCACTGCAGTACAGCAGTGGGTTCATAGCCATTTGTACAATTTGGAACACACCCCCTTCAGGCCACAGCCAACTGGGCTGGTGAGGGCTACGAACCCCAAACGGGCCATAAGTTATTTCCTAGAAGTTTAATGTTGATATTAGGAGACAAATAAATCTCCTGTAAATTGTTTTTACCTTTGGGAACTGTAGGATCAGTGTCTTCCACCCACCACGTGAAACAGAGAAGCAAAGGAAGCAAGTTTGCAGGGAGAAGAATGAAGCATATACAACATAGTGGTGAGATACAGAAAAATTACAGATGATTTTCTAGGCTTAGTACATGATCCAGGCTTGGTTTACCAACCTATTTTGGAATTTATGAGGCACCCTAGTTCCTTATGATAAAGCCATCTTTTTAATTAAGCTAGCTTGATTTGGTTTGCTATAGCCAAATACTACCAATTACTAGTACTATGTGTAACATTTGGTGGCCTGTTGATGAAGTTAGAGAACCTCAACCTACTACAGCCAGTCAATAGGTTCTAACCACTTCCAGCCTATTCCAAAGGTACTGCTTTCAAACCTCAGAACTTGACACAAGTCTATGCTCCAGAACTCTGGCCCCTGGGATCTTTCAAGCTAACAACTTGAATTACAGCAAATCATTAAGTGTTCTGCAGTAACCGTGGAGTTAACTTACTCTTTTAAAAGGAAGCACCTCAGAATAGGAATGAACAAATAAAACACGTTCTCATAAGCATAACCTAACCTTCCTTTGGAAAAGATGCAGAACAGTGAAGAAAAATGCCTTCTCTTCCCACACAGCAGTCTTTCTAGAATGCAGATGAAGAAGGCTGCTAGGGAAGAATAAGTCCCATACATACTCTCAATGATTAACCTTCTCGTTCCTTAGAGAAAATTACCAGTTATTGAGTAGCTATAATCTCCTAAGCATTATATTAGACATTTTACATAATTTGCTTTTATTATTAAAATTATTGAAAGATATGAATTGCTACTCCCATTTTACAGATGTTCACAGATGTCTTTAAACTAAGATTCAGAGGTTAAATGACTTGCTCAAAGGCATGGTTACCAGAACACTGAAGTCAAAATTCAAACTCCAAATCCATGCCCTCGACACTATGCTATGAAATTTCTCACAGCTACCATGTCTTGAACCCTTATCATAAAAGAGACAGAACAGAGTAACAGCAAAACAAAACCAAAAACTGAGTTGAATAACAGAAATAGCAACAAAAACAGTATGGTAATAAAATAATATTCTTTTTTTAATAAAACAATATCCTTGAAAATTACAATTTATAAAGAATTTGTAATTATATGATTGCTTTTATAATATCAGAGAAAAAATAGAACACAAGCTTATTCTATTATATGTACAATGTATATATCTATATAATATAATCTAGATATCAGAGAAAAAGACTTAAAAGGCAATCAAATATCCCAAAACAGGAGGCTGTTTTCAGTAAGTAACTGAAAATCACAAATTAAGTCACAAGCAAAATCAGAAATACACCATTATGTGGGGGCAAAAAAGTAACTGCACTTCCTATCACAAAGTACCACTTCCCCTAATACATAAAGGGTGCCTACAAACAACTAACAAAAAGATTGTTGAAAAAGAAAAATGCCCATAAGATCTAAATAGAAAAGGATGTACACATGAGTCTCAACTACACAGTAAGAAAAATGCAAACTGCAATGAGATACTGTGTTTCATCTCTCAGATTTGCAAAAGATCAGGAAGTCCTGATAATACCGTACTGGTATAGGTACTGGAAAGATGGTACTCATACAACTTCTACGAAGGCAACTTAGGAATAGCTAACAAAACTATAAATACATACATACTTTGATCCACCAATTATATCAGCAAGAAGTTATCCTGTAAGTATCTCCCGTGTAAATGAAACACCTTCTGTTCAAGAATAATAATCACTGCAGTAGTATCTGTAATAGTATTTTGGAAACAACCTAAATGTCCACCAATAAGGGCACTAGATAAAATAAACTCATCCATATATGGTGTATTACACACCAAAAAAAAAAAAAAGAAGTAATTCTTCATGTACTGTTATGGAATAATCCCATAGTATTAAATGAAAAAAGCAAGGTGCAGAATAATGTGGAGTATGCTATCATCTGTGCAAAAGAAGGTGAGGGCTTTGAATTTTGAGTCATGTAAACACTATTACCTATTCAAAAACTTAACTTTTCAGAAATACATATTTTAAAGCAAAAGATTAACTATGAAACATCCATTATGATACAGTAATGCTTTCAAGTATACTTAATAAATAGGAAAAAAAATCTAAGAGATGCTATTAAGTAGGAGAAATGAACAAAGTTTATATAAAGGAGTCTTCATTTTCTTGAAAAATTAAAAAGAAAAGCATTTTTATATGCATAGAAATAATGATGATTGCCTCTTGGTGCTGAGATTATGGGCAATTTTTTTTCTTTATATTCTTCTGTACTTCCCTAATTTTCCACAGTGAGTATATGTTACTCTAAAAATCAGGGGGGATAAAAACACAAAAAGAACAGATAGCTAAAATAATCCTTGTTTAATCTGTGAATAAATCATCCTTAATCACAGCATCACTGACCCTTACCTGACCATGACTGGTTGTTGGTTCTTCCTCCAACAAAAGTTTCTCTTTCAAGCTTTTAACTGGGCTTTCTTGGAAATCCTTGGTTTTTGAGTGCCAGACAGATGCCCTAGATTCCTGCCTCTCCTCTTTGTCTTCATCTCCCATTTCTTCTGAGGTGCCTTCATTTTTTTCACTAGCCTGATCTCCTTGGCCACATTCATTCTGGATCAGAGAAGGAGGTCTAGGTAACACTGGTTCCCCAAACACTTTTTTTTTAAGAGCTGCCTCTGAGCCATTTTCAGGCTCTTTTGATAAACCTCCAACTGGCAGAGAATGACCTGGGTATATTGGTTAGGGTCTACACCAGCAGGGCAAAATGGAATACCCCAGAAGTAGTGCACAGTGCCCCCAATGTCCTGGAGACCTCTGGCATCTGCTGGGGTAGGCAGACAGTGCCTAGATGTGTCCCCCCTACCCTGGGCAGCTTTGTGAAAGGCACAACCCCTCCCAGTACTTTCCTGTGGCTTCCCACACTGTGTGTGCTCAGCCAAGCGGCCAGTACATCTGTCAAAACATTTAACGTTCTCATTCTCAAACACTGGCTGGCTTGACTGGTCCCAGCTTCCTGAGCTGCCAGAGACCGGCTCCTCTTCAGTGTTTTCAGTGTGGTCCCAAGGCTCCTTTCTTTCCTCAGACTCGTTTCCCTGACTGATATGTGAGCCTTTAAACAGTGGTGGAGGTACCAGCTGCCATATGCCTGTAGGTATTTGAGAAAAAGTAGGACTAAGGACAAACTTTTTTATTAAGAGGGCTTGGTAAGTTATCACTTACCAAGATTACATAATGTAGGTAAAAAAGGCTCTTCTTTGGGTTTAACCAAATGTTGGCTTTTCCTGGGCGATAAAAGTATGCTGGGTATTAGTGAGATTTCAACTACTTTTCTGATTGAACCTCTTTACTACCACCAAAGGGATTTGGGCATTTCTGTACAACTACTCTCAGCATGATGTCCCTGTGACATGGTTACACTTGATGAGCAGAAGCCAGAACAGGGAGACATGCCTTCAGTGATCCCAGAGTCTGTGGTTTTCTCCTGATGGGACTGTGAAGATGGTCCAGTGGCCAGAGGTCGAGATCTGGTAGCAGAAGCATCAGAAGGCTGGCAACTCTGAAACAAGTGATCCCATACCAGACCAGGTTTATTATTAAGACAGGTATACATGAAGGGTCACAGGAGGGACAAAAAAGGGAGGCCACTGTCCCTAAGAGATTCTCCTCTCCAAAACGCAGGTGCTCGATTCAAATGAATTCCACAACATGCACTGCATGTCTACTATGTGCAAAGTGCTGTACCAGATCACTGTACTAAACCCTTTTCTAATATAGAGAGGTAAGTGGCGTAAAAGATGGCTCAGGACCTGCCATTGGCAAATATCCTTCACATGTAAAATAATTTCAACTACACAAATTCAAATCACAATTTAGTATTATTTGAAAACTTTTAAAACTGCCCATTCTTTCTCCTCATAACCCACCTGATTCTCGCTCCCTTTGCTTTCCCCACAAAACAGGGGCAGTAAACACCTTATCTTGCTCCTTTCTGGTTCCTTGGTACTCAGTCACTGTTTTCAGAAGCTGCCAACTACTATGGTTCTCTTAAGCCACACACTGAAAGTTTGCGGTGTGGAAGAAAATTCTTTCACGCAAAATTAGCACAATACTTCAAACTGGGTTCACCAACAACTCAACACAAACTTCAAAAATTATTATGGGAAATATCTGTTAGTTGAAATCCTATGAACTACCACAGCTAGTTTCTAATGTAGCCATAATACTGCAGAAATAAATACTGGCGATCAATTCTCAAACACTTTTTCAACACAGCATATTTACATTCAGGCTTTCTGCAATGGCTTTCCTCAAGAGCTCCTCTTCTTCCTCCTCCTGGCTGTTCACCTCCCTAGCTTCCTGCTCGCTCATTTTGAGAGCCAGAGCAAACTGTTCTTCTTCTGTCATTTCTGTAAGAAGATAAGGGGAAAAACAGAGGAGGACATCACAAACATTGAATAAGCATGTAGACAAGAAACAGAATTATTACAAGTGAAGACACCACAGACCATCTAGCACAATTTTATAATTTTATAAATGAGAAAAGCCCCAAAAGGTAAGATGCTGGCAAGGATCAGCAGCAACAGTTACAAGAATCCTTGGTTAACTGGAAGTGAACCCCTGCGAAGGCAGAGTTCTTTCTATTTTATTCACTGTTGTATTCCTAGAACAGAAAAGAGTGCCTGGCACCTGGTAGATACTCAATAAATATAAGGTGAGTGAATAAATAAGAGCTGACTCCCACTCCAGGGCTTTTTGCTACATTTCACACTGCTTTATATGTTCAATATTACCCCAAATTATTTCACTCTTCAGAATCCTCTGATTTATCCAGTAGAAAGAACATCCCTAATGACCCAGAATGTCACCTCCAAACACCATTTCCCATTAAAAGTAACTGGAGTACCTTGGAGAAATGGCCGATTCCAAGTCTGGAGCATGAAATGTAGAAAATGAGCTAGAATATCTGACGTATCTGTGACCAAGGAATCTATCAGACATTACCAGAGTCATATCAAAAGAACTTAAGAGCCAACTTAAAAAGATTCTCACTGGCCCAAAGTGGGACAACTAGAACATCAATAAGGACAATGAGCACAATGAATTAAAACACATTAAATATGTTTAAATCTACGAGTTCATAATAGCACTTTAATAACATTACTAACTGGTCATTGTTGAAGAATATTAGTGAATCAATTATTTTGAAAACTGGTAAATAAAAGGACAGAGAATTAAGCTTCTGTCCTACTCTTCCAATATACTACTGGTTAACCAAATAGATGAAGAGAAGTTTCTCTTTAAAGAATAATAAATGTAAAGGAAATGACAGAATTAGAATACTGTCATTTTGTATAACGACTACGGAAAGGATTTTAGCAATGTCTAACAAACTACGTATATGACCCAGTAATCTCAATTCTAGCAATTTACTCTAAAGATGTATTTCCAATTTTAAAAAAGTAAATATGCACTACATTTTTCATTGTGGCATTGTCTGAGTTTGCAAAACACTGGAATCGACATAATGACCACCAGAGGACATTGCTTGAATAAACTCTGCTATACATACATGCAACTCTAAAGAAGAATAAGGAAAGTATCTATGAGATAGAAGGATTTCAACGGTATAATACTAAGTTAAAAAAAAAAAGGAAAACACTTACAAAAAAGTATAAATATAATATGCTACTTTTTGTCTAAGAAAGGAGAAATAAGAAAATACACATATTTGACAAAGGAGGCAAGCATATACAATGAGGAAAAGACAGCTTCTTTAGCAAGTGGTTTTGGAAAAGCTGGACATTGTACGTAAACCAGTGAAGTTAGAACACTCCCTCACACCATACACAAAAATAAACTCAAAATGGCTTAAAGACTTGAAACATAAGACAGAACACCATACATTTCCTAGAAAAGAATATAGGCAAAACATTCTTTGACATAAATAATAGCAATGTTTTCCTAGGTTAGTCTACCAAGGCAATAGAAATATGGGCAAAAATAAACAAATGGGATCTAATTAAACTTATAAGCTTTTGTACAGCAAAGGAAACCATACACAAAACAAGAAGACAACCTAAGAACTGAGAAAAAATATCTACAAGTGATGTGACTGATAAGGGTTTAACTTCCAGAATATACAAACAGCTCATACAACTCAATAACAAGAAAAAAAAAACCAATCCAAAAATGGGCAGAAGATCTAAACAGACATTTCTCCAATGAGGAGATGGACAATAGGCACAGGAAAAGATGCTCAATATCACTAATTATCAAAGAAATGCAAATAAAAAAACTATAATGAGGTATCACCTCACACTGGTGAGAATGGCCATCATTAAAAAGCTCACAAATGATAAACGCTGGAGAGGGTGTGGAGAAAAGGGAACCCTCTTATATTGTTGGTGGGAATGTAATTTGATGCTGCTGCTATGGAAAATAGTATGGATATTCCTCAAAAAACTAAAAATAGATTTACCACATGACCCAGCAATCCCACTCCTGGGTATATATCCAGAGAAAATTCTAATTCGAAAAGATACCTGTACCCCAATGTTCATAGCAGCACTATTTACAATAGCCAGGATGTGGAAGCAACCTGAACATCCATCAGCAAATGATTGGATAAACAAGTATATACACACACACAAACATACACAATGGAATACTACTCAGCCATAAAAAAGAATGAAATATTGCCATTTGCAGCAACTTGGATGGACCTAGAGATTATCATACTAAGTGAAGTAAGTCAGACAGAGAAAGAAAAGACACACATCATATGATATCACATATATGTAGAATCTTAAAAAATGACACAAATGAACTTATTTATAAAACAGAAACAGACTCACAGACATGAAAAACAAACTTATGGTTACCAAAAGGGAAAGGGTGGAGGGGAGGATAAATTAGGAGTTTGGGATTAGCATATATAAACTACTAGATATAAAATAGATAAACAACAAGGTCCTACTGTATAGCACAGGGAATTATATTTAGTAGATTATAATAACCTATAATGAAACAGAATATGAAAAATATATATATAAAACCAAATCACTGCCCTGTACACCAGAAACTAACACAACATTGTAAACCAATTATACTTCAATTAAAAAAAAAACAAAAGAAAGTATACATATACCTGTTAATTTTTGTAAACAGTGACACAAGAAGGATAAATGATACCGCATAGTTTTGATTCACATTTCTCTGATAATTAGTGATACTGAGCATTTTTTCATATGCTTATTGGCCATTTGTATGTCTTCATTGGAGAATTGCTTGTTTGGGTCTTCTGCTTATTTTTGGATTGGGTTGTTTGTTTTTTTCTTATTAAGTTGTATGAATTGTTTATATATTCTGGAAATTAACCTTTTGTCAGTCAGCCCTACGAGAATATTGCTAAGATTATGTGTCAGAGAATGTTTTGTCTATGTTTTCTTC